GGTGAGATCAGACGAATGAGGGGAAGAAGGGCATTGAAGCAGGAGAAACCGTATGGACAAGGCCAGGGAATAACTGCATTTTTTAAGCGGCAATGAGCAGAGCAGATCCCATAAGCAGAGGTCTCTTGGAGGGGAATAAAATTCAAGAGGACTGTTAGGGACTCTCTGGAGATTGTCTTGAACAGTGGGCCACCCTCCTACAACATAATGTTCAATGAGGCGTTAACTCAAGAGCCAGCTGTCGGATTTCTTTTAAGTGAGTCATCTTTGCCCAGGAAAACACCTAGAAAGGACATTTTGGCTACGGAAGGGTAGGCCTCAGGGTTTGGCCTGGATAAACAGGGACAGACAATGAGAAAGCTGAATCACTCTGCATGACAAGGGAGAAGAAACAACGACATTCTAGTGCAGTCCTACTAAGGAGACATAAGGGGAAATTTTGAGGACAGCAGGATGGTAGGGGGTCAAAAGACAGAGAGGGAAATTTTGGCCAAGGAGAATTCTCTATAGCAGCCGAAGACTATGAAAGAAGTCAAATATTCCACCTTACGTCATCTGCTGTGCTTTGTCATCTGAGGCTCTGCCACCGCCCTCAAATCTGCAGTCACAGTCCATACCTTAGTGATCTACCTGGGGGGCGTTTGAGAGGCGAGGAGAAGCACACAAGTGCCCTGCTCGATGCTCTGCTAGACAGAAAAGAGAAAGCAAGCCTGGGGCAAGATGGCAGTAGGAAGGAAAGGTCCCCCAACAGGAAATCGAAGTTTTCCTTGATTTCCTTGATTTCCTTTGTGTGAACACGAAGCCCTGGGAATCCACACAGATCTTGAGGAAAACAAGGATGTGTAATTTGTAGATGAAGCCATTCTATTTAAATCTCAAATAACAGGAATCCCAGCTAACACCTGGCTCCATGTGTGTAAGACAACCTTGATAGATCCAACTTCAGATACTCTGGGAATAAATGATTGCACATAGAGATCTTCCAGAGTCCATTCTTTACTCTTTCTTTTGTCTTGATAACTATTTTTGGACCCTTTAGCATCTTCACCAATGTTCATTCAATCGGTCCTAAGGAGAGACGGGCCAACTCAGGTTGATTTACTTTTCTCTTTGTTACCATCTCTGGCAAGAGACGTGATTGGATGTCTCAACTGCGTGATCCTGTACATGTGTACACAGCTGCAAATGTTTTAAGTGAGAAATGCTGCTTTGCTCCTTTCCTATTACCTCCATGTATTTGGATGAGTGTATAGATGCTCCCATATAAATACCGCAATGAACTCAAATGTGTATCTGATTATTTCATTTCCTGGAATGGGTGAATTTCTTCTACAATCTACAAAAGGCCAATGAAACTTTTGCAACTGCTTGTAATATTTCTCAGCTGTGGTTCCAATGCCTTCCCCAAAACTAAGTACTAATTGCAGTGGCAAATGAACACAGTGTATTGTTACTTCCAGAATAATGACTTCAGAATGATATCATTTGGCCAGTCACCTGCACTGATTGGGAGTGAGGACTATTCCTTGACTATAATAAGCAACTCTTTAGAAAGTTTCCTCCTGGTAGGAAATTCAATTCAGAGAACAGAGCGTCTGTAATGGAGGAGGTCTAATGAGTCATTGGGAACATTAGAGAATGGGCAAGATGTTGTATTTATGTTTTAAATGTTTATGTAACGCTCATTGCTGGAGGGAAACTAGCTATTACAGTTTTTGCAATTCTCATGCTGTTTCTCTTTTCCCACCTCCTGGAAAGCTCCAAAAAAAGGATGATTTGACATTATCCCTGGAATACATTCATGATCCTGCTGCTTCCTTTAGAGTGTTTGGGAAATCAGCAAACCTAACCTGCAACCAAGTTTATTTTGATTTGAAAAGGACATGATAATGCAAAAGCTACCAGCCTGGTTCCCCGGTTAACCATACCGGTTAGCTTCCCTAAAGTTGTGGACAATTTGACCAGCATGCTGTATCCTGCCCCATTTACTTACTGATGATGCTTATCCTGGCTAACATTTATCATGACACCTCGAGTCATTTCCAGTTGAATGCACCTGAACTAATCAGCTCCTTTTTGAGTTTTATAATTCCTATTTTTATTTCAAAAATCCAAAGCAACAGGGGCACCTGGGTGGCTCAGCAGGTTAAGCGTCCGACTCTTGGTTTTAGCTCAGGTCGTGATCTCGGGGTCGTGGGATCGAGCCCCGCGTCGGGGGCTCTGAGCTCAGTGTAGAGTCTGCTTGTCCTCTCCCTCTGCTCCTCCCCCCCACCTCAAATAAATAAATAAGTAAAATCTTTTTTAAAAAATCCAAAGCAACAAATATCTATGCTTTGGCACCAGCATTTTTTAAAAAATTGTTCCTATTTCAGTGCCTTTACCATTGGATATATGCACACACTATGAATTTGTTCACATTCATTTTATAATATATTTTTTAATTCAGCAATTAGCATGCCCAGATGAGCACGTACCTGTGCTTGGAATCACTCAAGGTGCTGGGTTTTTAAATTAAAAAACAGATCTATACGTAACTTCATGGAATGTACAGTCTAATAGTGCTTATTTACACAAGTCAAAATAGATAGCTTAGTGACAAAGCTATCAGAATTTTCAAGGCATGTCTCTACTTAATAAAGTCATTTTCTCATTACTCCTGGGTAATTTACCTCTTTGCCTCTGCTTTTTTATATTCCCCTGCCTTTATTCACTTTCATTTATCAGGGAAGCGTAAAGTAGTGGAAATTAAATATTTCCATTTTATATAATAATTGGATTTTAGGATAAAGGTTGGAACCACAGCCTAAAATCTAATTTGAATATAAATAAAATTTTAATATTATTGATTAATTTTTTTCCATTCTATCTTTAAATCTTTTTGCTAATCATAAAAATTGTCTGTCCAAGGACAGATAAAAAATACCAAGCATTTCATGCAGAACATTTATCAGAATGAAAGGTCAATGGCGAGATGATGTCGAAGACTCATACGTAAATGTTACAGGTGTGTGTAGTGCGTGACGCCATCACAGAGCAGAAGCCTCCACCATCATCCGTTTCCTTGTCTTTCTCCAAACAAATCAGGCAGTTCAGAATGTGTGGCAAGGGCTAGAATATGACAAAACAACATTGGTTCTGACTCTGATCATCTGTCGAGGTAAACTGGAGTCAGAGGAGTGGAAAGTGTCATGGGCAAGACGGTGCTGTTGGGATGTCAGGCCGCGCAGCAATGGCAAGCAATAATCCCTCAGAAAAAAACTCTTACACTCTCAGTGTCAGGAGTCTTGGAAAGGAAGGAACACGGAGACAACCAAGAAATCAGAGTAGTCTTTGTAGCACTGTCTCTTTTCTGCACCTTGCTGTATTAACTGAGCCCTTCCTCATGTCTACTGGCAACCAAAAGCAACCAAGGAGTGCGTGGAAGCAAGTGGAAGGGCAGGGGGAGGGGTGCATGGAGACAAGCTCAGATGGAAGAGAGGCCCATCAGGGACACTGGAGGTAGAGGTGGTGGGACAGAACAAGAAAAGGGTACAATCTTACAAGACTGAGATATTTGGAGACTCTGACTCCTGGCAGAACTCTGGGCATATTTCCAGGCCTTAATTAGGATTCTGTAACAATCTTTAAGAGAAAATGATTTTCCTAAATATCACTAGTTTTTCCTTTAGTCACTTATGCCTGGATCTTGTTAAAGTTTCCAGCCATTCTGCTCACTTTATCTTCTAAGTACAAATGAGAAACTGAAAGGGTCCATATCACAGCAACTGAGTACTTGAAATAAGACATTTGAACACAGGGCGCCTGGGTGGCTCAGTCATTAAGCGTCTGTCTTCAGCTCAGGTCTTGATCCCAGGGTCCTGGGATCGAGCCCCACATCGGGCTCCCTGCTCGGCGGGGAGTCTGTTTCTCCCTCCGCCTCTGCCTCTGCCTGCCACCCCACCTGCTTGTGCTCTCTCATTCTTTCTCTGTTAAATAAATAAAATCTTTAAATATATATATATATATGCCTGAAGGGGTGTCGGAGCACATCTCATCTCAGCTAAAGACGACAGGAACAATTCAGTTCATCTGTGGCCAAGCCCAACACTGGACGTCCAATTACTTTCTGCTAATAATAATAATATCCATAATACCTAGTGTGTGCTGGGTACGAGCCCAACCACTTTACAGATGTTACTTCACTCAATCCTACAACCACTCCCATGATGTAGGTACATATTACTATCTGTACCTTCCCAGGTGAGGAATCTGAGGCCTGGAGTGGATGAGTTATTTGCTCAATCTCAAAATTGATGAAAGGGTCGAGCTTCCTCCCCGGGGCCCACACGGTCTCCCGCCCCTAAGGAGCATGCTTATTTCCCTACCATCAGCCTCCTGCTTCCTTCACCCATGGAAACATCTGCAGAGAAGACCGGCTAGTTGGTGCTTCATTACGCTTCATTATGCTTCATTCTGCAGTAAATTACTGAATTCTGCTTAGCAGAATTGTACATAGAAAATATCATCAGAACATAAGGTCTTGAATTTAGTAATGCTGGGTTGTCTCTGTAATTGGGAGAGAAGAGTAACAGCTTGTTTGTCCTCATTCTTTCCAAGATCCTAACTGTTCCTTGAAATGGTTTAAGCAATTTGATGCCTAAGAAGGACTTCATTATCTCCAGTTTCAACTCCTTTAGTTCTGCGTGAAAAATAAAGAATTTATAATCATGAAATAACAGGAGGGATGAGAAAGTTGATGTAACCGTAAGCTGAAATTTTACTGACTCTAATAAATTATCGAACTGGCAGTTGAACCCTATGCCAGAAGCAGAAATGTGTGCAGGGCCTCAGACGAACCATATCGCACCCCCTTGTAGTCACGAAAACTCCCATTTATTAAAAAGCCACCAACCAGCGCGGCCTGCGGTTGTCGAACTTCTGGTATTTTTCCAAATCTAGTGCAACCAAAATCACCCTTCGAGTGCCTAGGTCAATAAATGACATTCTTTTCTGCTGCACAGAACCTGAAGCGGGTGGCTGAGACTTGGATGGATGAATTCGCCGAGTACATTTACCAGCGGCGCCCAGAATACAGGCACCTCTCCACCGGGGACATCTCCGCCCAGAAGGAGCTGCGCAAACAACTCAAGTGCAAGGACTTCAAATGGTTCATGGCGGCAGTGGCCTGGGATGTGCCTAAGTACTACCCTCCGGTGGAGCCCCCACCGGCTGCCTGGGGGGAGGTGAGGAGAGCCTGCATGGAACCTGCGCTTACCTCAGCGCGTCCTTCTCTCCAGGGCTCAAGTGGTGGGAGGGACTGCCGAAACCTCAGCTCCTCTGCCCTTCGGCCAAGTAAGATTAGCTTAAATCATCTCCGATAAATCAATGTCCAACTGTTGATTTTTTTAGAAATTGCCAGGGAGAAGCATTCAGCCCTCAGCCTTGAGAGTCCCACCCAGAACCCTTGGCCGCTATTGACTTCCCAAATGGATTTTTTTTAATACACCTAGAAAATATTTTTATTTGAGATTAGTGACATTGCCATAAGAGCTTGCAGAGAATGCAAATAGCTGTAATGCTACCGTGTCAATAAGTGTGACCTGATCTCCATGATAAGAATCCTTCCCCGTCCTCCATGCATAGCCTTGTTGCTATTGGTGTATGCAAGGATGAGGTGATGGAGCGGCTTGACTATTTTCTTAGCCGGAGGTGCTATGCAGAATCACGAAGAAATGCATTTCCATAAATACCCACAGCTGTGGCACATGCAGGAACCACATCGGTTGCTTCAATAAGCGCTAACCTTTCCACCTGGGAATGCTTCTTTTTTGATTTCACTTCGTGTTGTAAAATGGAAAGAACCGAACAGCCCCAGTTTCCAAATTTAAAATATCTATCTTTTGGCATAGAAAGGACTATTGTGCTGGGTGCAGTTCCGTTCAATCCCATTACTATAGCCTTCTCCTCATAGAAAAGTATATGCTAAAGCAAGGACTAAAATTGGATAGGGTGGATTTATCCTAGCAATTGAATCTGCTTTTAGCAGGAGGCTATGAGGGGGAAATTGCAGGCTGGGCGGGATGCTAGTGCCGTCCTCGTTCTCAAGGTTTTCAGAAGCCAGGGGGTGACTATAGTGCTTTGTGGGGGAGCCTTTTCATCATTATCCTTGGTCTTGTTGTGTGGGGGAGAACATGCATTAGCCTGGTCGCTGTCTGGTCTGTGGCTTGGCAGAGCTCTGAATACAGGTTGCCCCAGGGCGTGGCAGGAGTGGCCAGGAGTGAGCAGCGTTCTTGGGTGGGCAGTCTCAGCACCCCCTGGAAAATGTTTCATGTGCACTGCTTGTTGTGCCAAGAGGGTCCAAAAAGATGTCATTCTCTACCTGTGCCTGGGATACCCGAGGAACAAAGGAGAGAGTCAAGGTCAAGAACATCACTGCATGGTCCGTTGCCGAATGTTTTTGAATGTGCGCGTGGTCCTAATACTGGCTGCTCAAGCCTGTTAGGGATCTGATCTGATACTTTGCGTCTTGAACATTTCATTAAAGCCTCCCTGGAATATTAGTCATATTAGTCTGCTCCTATTCGTTTTAGCTATCTACCATGGACTTCATTTCTAGCGGTGGAAATGTAAAGTAGACCCCAAGAAGAGCTTTCTTAGTCTAATGCATGGTAGGACACAGGAATTTGTTGCTCAATAAGCAGGGAAGTGCCTTTGTAAGGTGTTTTTGGTTCAGGTTATATCTGCCTCCTATGGTAATTTAAATGCAGTCTTGCCTTAGTGACTCAGAAATATTCTCAAAGACCTCACAGCATCACTGTGTGATCCACAGCCAGTTAAAATCTCATCAAGCTTTTCTCCATTTTCTGTGGAAACATATATTTTGGTTCCTACGTGGTTACTACTTCAGCTGCAACAGGTCACATTTTCCCTTCGAACCTGACTAAACCATAACCTGTATTTATAAAGCACCTGGCTTGGAAACAGACTCAAAGCTTCTTCCACTGATGTTCTAAAGATACGACTTCCCCCAGAAAAATCAGAATAATCATCTGAAGGCCAGGTAGGCTACGGCAGAAGGTTGTTATTCATTACCTTTGACTGCCTTACATATTTATGTAGCTTGCCTGGCCCATGGGAACACTTGCATTCATCATTTCTGGTCTACACAATTAGGCATTGAGAAGATCAGATTTTTTTTTTTAACACGATGGCAAATTTCTTTCCCCAAAGCTTCAGCACATCAAACAAAAAAAGGTCATATTTAGGTTTTGGGAAAGAGGAAAATGGGGCTACAGTTCAAGGGCTAGTTGCATTCAGTTGCATTTGTTCAATGAAGGTGTGGTCCACAGAAAGAATAAAAACCTGGAAGATTGGAGGAAGGCAAAAAGAAAGGAAACCAACAAGTGACGAGGGTTTGGGCTGGTAAATGGTTTCGAAAAATACCTACTTTCTAAGCAGAGTAGATCCCTGAGAGTAGAAATAGTGCCTGTACATTTAATGCGGGAGGAAAGAGAAGTGTTGAAATGCAGCTTGATCTAAAGGAAATCATGAAAAAGAGAACTATTTCTAACTATCTATGAGGTAATAGCAACCTACTTCTTAACAGTGGATAAAAATGGCTAAATGTGCAGAATATATCTATGGATCATTTTACCTCTGAAAATAGCTCTTTTGAAGTGATCACTCTTGTGTTTTTCTTTTCCCTTTGAGGGGCCTTTTTTTAAAATATTTTTTTTTTATTTTGGAATAATTTTAAATTTGCAGAAGAGTTGCAAAGGTGGTACCCAAAGTTCACAGATAGTCTTCACCCCAGTTCTTCCAGTGTTAACCTCTGAATGTTTGCCACATTAACCACAGCGCGTTTAAACTAAGTAATTAACATCAGTACAATACTATTAACTAAACTACAGACTTTATCCAGATTTCACCAGTTTTATTCACTCATGTCCCTTTTCTGTTCCAGGATCCAATCCAGTATATGAGAGGGTTGTTTAATTTCCTATAAACTTTAAATTAATTGTTAGAATGGGCAAAGCTCCTGAACAAACGTAAAAGGTCAATGGCTGTTTTTGTAAGACAGTGAAAAGGGAAATGCAGCCCGTGTGGCTCTTTGAAAGCGGTTCTAGAAAAGAACCACAAACCTCCAGCAACGTAAACACAAGAATCCTTTATGGGAGATCTGTGCCAAAAGCAGGGTAACTGGCTGTTTTATGCACTTGTACTTGGAACGGTTCCCACCTGCTGTTCTATGTCAGCCTGATTCTGGGTAAACAAGGAAGTGCTTAGGCAATTTTTGGCGCTGGTTGTTAGAACCCACCTTGTAAAGGATAAGTTACAGGCCATAAATAGCCACTAAACTGCTACTCATTTCCCTGACAAGTTCGGGTGGATTATTGCATTTGTCTCCTAACTCGTCTCTCTGCTTCTGCCCTCCCTCCCTTCAGCTTATTCTCACTATATTACAGTTATATAATGCATTTATTTATCATGTTTCTCAGCTATGTCCCACACTAGAAAGGAAGAGTCATGACACAGAGATTTTGTTGAATTGTGGAGTTACTCATGCTCTTCAGCAGCTAAAAAAAGTGTTTGGCATATAGTACGTGTGCCATACATATTCACCGAAGGAATGAATGATGAATGAATGGAGGATTTGGGCTCCCTGTTGTTCCCCCTTGTCGCTCACTGCTCTGCCCTGAGCCTCCAGAGAGCACACTACGCTCTTACTCCGCTCCACCACACAGAAGAGTCTCCATGCCCTCCCTTGTTGGCCACACATCATCTTCCACTTTGGAAAGCTCAGCCAGGAAGAGTTTGAGGTGGGAATCTCACGTAACCGATCGTGATGGACTCTCAGGTCTATGGTCCACATGATAGTCAAGCAAGATATTCAGTATTCTCTTCTGATACCCTCCGGAGAAGAAGGGAAAAATCCAAAAGTGAGAATCCTCTGTTCTGGCAATTTCCAAACTCTCCCTGCCAGCTTCCTACTTAAAGGCAAGAAGAGATTAAAGTCACATGTGATAGAGAAGTGCTTTCCAGAGCAGAAGTCACTGCCTCCTGCCGGTGGTGGGCACTGGGTGGATCAGCCTCTGGGAGTGGGTAGAATGGGTGGGGAACAGTGGGTGGCATGGGGCCCAGGAGAAAGAAATAGGATTTTGAGCCATGTACTGAGTCGAATATCCCTTTGTGCAATTCAAGTAGAAGCAATGTGCTTTTCCATGCTGCTGTGTTGGATAGGGTAAGAACAAGTTTAAAGTGGAAAACTATTCTTAAACCAAGCACATATGGAGTGCCTTTTTTTGTGTCAAGATACTAAATGAAAGAAGCCGAATTTCCTATTATTTTTCTCCTTCTTACCCCTTCCCCTCCTTCGAATTCATGAATTTGTTAAAGACATTTATAGTATTCATTTAGTGTCCATAAAGAAGAGTTCTGCAGAATCCCAAACATCATGTGTAAGAGAGAACAAAAGATATAAAATAGACAAACGTGTCTTTCCCTACCGGCGCCAGAGATTCTTTTGAGATGTGTCTGCTTTCTGCCCTCAATGTGCCAATCTTGGCGCATCCGTCTGTCTTCCTGCAGTGGTGCAAAACTTTTTTTAAATCTTTATTTTAAAAATTCATCTCAGCGCCGAACTCCTTCGGCTGCTATTTAAATTCCTTCCTCAAGATTAATGTCACCGGGAATTGTAGAACCTTCACACAGACGGGCGCCCTCGGTAATTCCAGTTCTCCTCCTCTGCTTTGGCTGCGCTTGACTTCTTTTAACTTGCTTTCTTCCTCTTTCTTCTAATGTTCTCACGGTGTACTGGCTTTTCAGATTTCCCCCTATCAGCTTACAGGAAAGGAAGTTTGGCCCTAGGCGGTGTGTTATCTGAAAGCCCATCTGAGGATGTGATGGTGTCTCTTTCAAACCAATTCTGCGTAAATGCTGCCGCTGTATAATGCAGAAGTCAAAGCCAGCAATTGATGCACAATGAGGGAGGCTCTCTCGCCTCCCCTTGGCAGAGCTGTGGCCGGTTCCCCCTCCTCCGATCCCCCTCCCCGGCAACCCAGTCTTGCAACTGGGAAAGCTGCAAAGAGAGATTGTCCCACCATTCCCTTGGCAACTGGCCCTGCCATTCAGCTGCTATCTGTCTAAACCAGATCATTAAATTAAGCAGTCATTCAGAGATGATTTGTCATTCTCTGAGTGTATTAGAGTTGACTTGATCTGTCATTTATTTTCCCAGGCAGAG